AACCTCTTTACTCGACAATAAAGAAACCTGTTAACTAATAAATAAGTTAAAGATTGAGAATAAAAGCAACAACCACAGCTGCCACACAGTGCTTTAAATATCAAGTAAAGTTAAAATAAAAACAACATATAAGTTTAAAGGAATAAAACAAATATGATCAAATTAATTAATTAAAACTAATAAAACAAAAAATAAAAAACACAAACGCAAAAACAGAGAGAGTCTCATGCTGTGTTAAAAGCCAAAAAATAAAAACATATTATAAGAAAAGTGAAGAGGATTGTCCAATGATTACAGAAGCTTTTTTTCATGTTTAATTTAAAAACCAATATAGCGTAATGGATGTTGATTTGTTATGGTTTTGCTAAATCTTCATGCAGGGTTTTTTTTTGGCTTACATTAGTGTTTTTACCAGAAAGACATTGAAATACCATTTTTAACAATGTAAAAAAAAAAAAAAACTAAGATATACAAAAACCACTGACCTTTCTTTTGCTCATTTTTAGTTTGAGAACAAAGGATTCTTAAATTACCATAAAAAAAAAATACCAGAAAATCACCCGATAAAAGTCTAATTTTTATTCAACTGTCCATGCATTGCTTACTTCTGGTGTCCTTTATGCCTTCATGTTGCATAGCATGGAAGAAGGGACTATATATGAGACTGCTGAAAAAATATAGCAAAAATGATTTACTGTTATAGTTATAACTGTTTTATTACTAGCAGCAGTAGTACTAGCAATTTATTCAGTCATTCTGTCTGAGAATTTTATATTGATTTAGAATAAAAGATCAACCACTATATGTGATCTAAATGGATGACAATAATTCCTCATCCTTTAACCTAACAAACAATAAATTCTTATGTACATAAAATTAGCTTTTGATTTATTATTTTCTTTTTTACAGTTTCCCATTGGGCTGTTTAATCTTTATTGCATTTAGAGTTGTCCAATGAATAGATGTTTTCTTTCTATATATGTTCTGCTTTTCTTAATTCCTTATAACAAAGAAGTACTGGAGTAGATTGTTTTAACCCCATGAGCATAAATTGAACAGTACTTTAAAACAAAAAGCAGCGTGTTGTTACAAAAAAAAGCAATTTACGTTAGAAAAACGAAAGACCATCATAACACTCTTAACATCCACCTCATTTTGAAGTAATCATCTCCCATTTTGCATACCCAGCCAAATTACGTGTGTGATACATCATTTGAAAGCTAACACCTTCTAGTTTCTGAAAATGAAAATGAAAATTGGGTGAGTAAAATGCAGCCCAAACTGCATCAGTTCAAACATGACTCAAAGTTGTTTTTTTATTCTAGAAAATAATAGTCTTTTTTGAACAGCAGTAATAAAGACAGGCTTGCGAATAGGCATATCTCATTGTATTACATGTGTTCCACATGATTTTAACAACAAATGCAGAAAATCTCAGACCTCTAGCTACAATAGCTCCAGAAGTGTGGGGCTTTAAACTTTTGGTGTCGCCAGCGTCTCCAAATCCTTCCAAATTGTGCCAAATGCTTTTACTCAACTATTTGACCCATAGAATAACACTAAAGCATTTTGATGGCCACAAAACATTTATGAAGCAAATATTTTCCACTTTTTTTCAGAATCAGTGTATACAACAAAATGTAACATTTATAAGCCTACAATAACATAAAAAATATATAAAAAATAGTGAAAACTGTTGCTTTTCAAGTTAAAATAAGCCCTATTTCCTTTTCTGAGCTGTATTTTGTGTTTGTTTTTTCAGCCTTAGGCATTATTATAAAACAAAATCAGCGTCCAAACTTCAAAAAAATTGGACCTTTGATATTATTCAGCTTCAAGCTGCCCGCATTGATCCACACTCAGCTGTGTGT